ATCTCCCACACATCAAAGGGTAGAATCAGGATCAATATGGAGCAGAAAGACCAACTTAAGACTGATGGTGTGGGGGAAATGCCGGGGTGGGGGGAAGGGTGAGGATAAGCCTTCTCACAATAAGAGCTGGCCAAAAGTCAGTAATAGATGCTCTAGTTGGTAGTGAATACCTCCTCATCAGAGGTTTCACGCAGATTAATTCAATCATTTCTCAGCAGGTATGTTGTAATGGTGGACAGTGAGGGGGCTCAATGGATAGAGGGCCAGGGCTGCAGTCAGGGAGGCCTGAGTTCAAATCTGGCCCCAGACACTACTTGTGTAATCCTAGGCAAGTCATTTAACTCTGTCTGCCTATTTCTTCATCTGTAAAATGAGCTGGAGAAGGAAATGGCAAACCACTCCAGCATCTTTGCTAAGAAAACCCCAAATGGGATCAGAAGAGCTGGATGCAACTGAAATGACTGAGCAACAGCAAATGTTGCAGTGGGGATTCTTTTCATCATGTATGGGCTAGAGTCTAAGAGTGGGTAACCTGTGGCCTCGAGGCCACATGTGGCCCTCTAGGTCCTCAAGTGTGGCCCTTTGACTAGCGTCTAGCATCAGGCATTCCTTTGTTGTAAGATCCTGAGAAATTCATTTCAATCTCTGTATGCCTCAGTTTCCTCAACTGTAGAATTAGGATAATGATAACACTTGCCACATAGGGTTGTTATAAGGATTAAATAAGATAATATTTGTCAAGTGTTTAGCACAGTGCCTGGTACAGAGTAGCTGCTTAATAAATGGGTATTCCCTCCTCTGCCCTGCCCCTTCCTCTTCTCCTATGGAATAGAGTGTATCTTATTTGTGGAACTTTGATGATTCTCTCTCCTTCTCCCATATCCATTTAGTCAGCAAGTCTTATTCATTCCATTTCAGCAGCAGCACTCATCCGTCTCTTTCATCCACCTATATGGTCTCTTCCCCTGTTTCAGGCCCTTACCATTCTTTGCCATTACCCAAACTACCCTACCCCTACCCCTCACGGTCTGCCTGATTTAAGCTCTCTCCTGTTCAGTTTTTCCTTTTCAAAGGAAGTTCCTAAAATCTTCTCCCTAAGGTACAAATTTGGCCAGGTAACTTCACCTGCTAAAGAAAACAAACAAACAAAACCAAACAAAAAACCCCACTTCATTGAAACCAGAGCAAGGTACAGAGTACCAGCAATATTGTCATGCTAATCAACTGTGAAAGACTTAGTAACTCTGATCAATACAATGATTCACCACAACTCCAAGGGACTCATGATAAAAAATGCTCTCGCCCTCCAAATAGAGAACTGATGGACTCGGAGAGCAAACTGAAACATTTTTTTTCCTGTCTTCATTTTTCTTGCTCCTCCCACCCCTCCCCAGAACATGGCTAATAGGGATCTACCTTTGCATGGCTTCATACATATAATACGTATCATAATCCTTGCTTTCTCAGTGGGTGGAGGAGAGATGGAGAAAGGGAGAGAATTTGGAAACGAAAATAAAAATAAAATTTTTAAAATAAATCTTCCTCAGCTCCCAGTTGCTTCTCATGTAATAATCAGGAGATGGATGACCTATGGCCCATCATTATTTCATACTTCTTCCTCTTATTGGACTACAAATTCCTCCTGGATTTCCAAAAGCCACTTTCCTACCTCTGTGAAGTTGCAATGCATTGAACTTTCCTACCTGCCAGGAATGCCTCCTGATTTTCAAGGCATAGCTCTGACACCACTTTCATCAGGTCAGATATTAATATATCTTATCTCCCCCCCCCACCCCAGATAATACAGAAAGGTAGCATGGAGTTGTGGATAGAGAGGTAGCTTAAAATCTAAGTCTATTCCAGGGCCAATCCCCTATGACTGAGATATACTTCCATATATCTTTGCCTCTTAGAAACACTGGTTTCCTTCATATGATCATAAGATGAATCTCCCTTCTCTCATTTTAAAGATGAGGAAACTGAAGCACAAAGAAATGTATCATAAGTGATAAATCCACAGTCACACAACTAGGAAGAGACTGAGGCAAAATTCAAACGCAGGTCCCTTTGATTCCAAGCTTAACTCGATAGTACTGTGCCACCCAGCATTCCGTGGTAATCTATCCAAATAATAACCTGACCCAAGTCTACTTAGCTTTTCAGATCAAGTGAGATCTGTTGTCTTTAGATTGGTAGGAATATTGGCAAGTAAGTGACTAGAAGGCTCGGCTCACCTGCGTAGCCTAGACAAGGCCTGCTAATTCCCCTGAGTTCTTAGTGCTATCTCCCCCAAATTGCTTTGCATATGTATCAGTGGCATGGCTCTATGTATGATGAACCAGTGAGTAGACAGACAGATGTCAGTGACTTTTCTCCTCCAGTCTTGCCTTTTTGCTGGCCAAGAATCTATTCCTGTTGTGTGGGGCTGTCTCTCTAGCTATTTTCTTGGCTCCTCACCTTCCAAAAGAGTGACTTTCTTTCAGATCAGTCTGTTCAGTAATCATCAATACCAGTCTTACTGCCAGTTTATACCAGCATATGGCCAGCCTTTACTGCTGTCTCATTTGCCTAGAGTAATCCAGCTAAATGTATAATCCCTGACCGGAACTTGTAAAAACAAATTGTAACTGCTCATTTCTAAGTCCTAGAAATGAATTGTGTTGTGGCAAAATATTGCTTTTTTTTTTTTAATGCTCCCCTAATTCTCCACATGCTGTGTTTGGACAGTAGTATACGTGGTTTAACAGTGCAGTTGGTTAACAGCTTTATCACATATTCTGGTTTTAGAGCCAAAGACAACTTTAATCACAGAATATCAAATACACTTTTCAGAAAGACATCATCCTACAGAGATGTCAGTTTTAGAAATGGGGATTAACCACATTGGGAGAGAGAGGAAAAGAGTAGAGGAGAAGAATGAGGGATCACTAAGATTTTATCCTCAACTTAAATGTATTTTAGTGTCTACTACAATGTGGCTTGAGGGTACTGAAATCCTGCATGGCAATCCTCTATGTTGATAAAGCCTTTGCCCTTTCTATCTCTCTTGGAGCTCTCAAAGCTTCTTGGATTCCTCTTCCCACAAGATCAAAGAGTGGGGTGGAATAAAAAGTCAAGCCCTTTGCCAATCAAAGGTCAGAACCAAACTCCCCTGCATGAGGTTGAGCAGGAGGAAAACAGTGGGAGATTTCTGTCCACTTCCCATCTGCCTCTCTGTATGGTTTCAGCTTCCAGGTAAGCTTAAACTTCATCACCATGCTGCTAACTCAGCCTTGCATACTTGACACTTGCCAACTCCCTCCACTTCTTTCCCCCGCTTACTGGAGGGCTAAGAGATGGGGCGATAAACTCCTCTTAAAGCTCTGCCTTACACACGGCAGGATTCATATTTTCCAGCTCATTCTGCATTCTCCATCTACAGTTTTGTATCCATTTAAACACTACAGAACAACATGTCCTCCGATCTGCCCCCCTCCCCCCACTTTCTAGCTTCCTTTTGTGTGCTGTCTTCTCCCAGTAAATGTAAGCTCCTTGAGGACAGGAACTCATTCTTATTTGTATCCTCAGTGCTTAATAGTGTGCCTGGCACATAATAAATGCTACATAAGTGTTGATTGAATTATTGAACTGAATTGAACATTTTTCTGAAACTAGCAGATCTTTTTCGAGATGATGCCTTCAGTGGATACATACGATTTTTATTGTTTTTATTTGTTTATTTATATGTTTTATTGTTTTATCTTTGTACAGGTTGGTTATTTTTTTTTCCCGTCAGTAGAATTAGAGCCCATTGAGTGAAAGGACTATTTTTCCTTCTTTTGTCTTTGCAGTCCAATAACTTAAGCTTAGTTATCACCACTTAAGTCCACTGGACTCCAGAGGAGAGAGTGAGGCCAATGACTTCGCACAGCCCTATCTCACTTAAATCCAATTTACATGGACATCACCCTCCTGACGTCACAACAACAATCACCATTTAAGTCATATGTATAACACAGGAACTGGAGAGTTGAGCCTAGAGCCAGGAAGACCTGAGTTCAAATCTGGCCTCAGACATTAGCTGTAGGACCCTGGGCGAGACATTTAACCTGTTTGCCTCAGTTGCTTATCTGTAAAATGAGGTGAAAAAAGGAAATGACAAACCAATCCAGTATCTTTGCCAAGAAAACTCCAAATTAAGGTCACAAAGAATCAGACATAACTGAAACAATTAAAAACAAAATAACAATAACTACTGGACCAGTGATTTCATTAGTATCAGGAATTCCCAGGTGAGGAAACTCCCTTTACTAATTCAGATTAGCATTTTCTTTGTAACTTGGTCTTAGAGTTGCCTACAGTCATACAGTTAGGAAGGGTCAAAGGTAAGGCTTGAAGCCAGGTTTGGTTTTTTTTTTAGGCAATTGTGGTTAAGTGACTTGCCCAGGGTCACACAGCTAGTATGTGTCAAGTGTTTGGTCTGAGGCCGGATTTGAACTCAGGAGGCTGACTTCAGGGCCGGTGCTCTATCCACTGTGCCACCAAGCTGCTCCAAAGCCAGGTTTAAATTAAATGATGCACTGAATGATATTAAATGATGCGTCTTGGTAAATAAGGCTGTGCTGTGCTAAGGACCTAGAATACAAATGGAAAATAAGACAGTCTCTATTCTCAAGAATCTAGGTTCCAACACTGCCTCTGACAGTTACTGGTTCCTTGACCTTTTGGAAGTCTCTTACCCTTTCTGAGTCCCAATTTAGCCATTTGTAAAATAAAGAGATTGTGCTAGATAGCCCCTAAGGTCCCCTCTAGTTCTAAATATGTAACCCAATAATCCTGTGCTTAGGAAATCATTTTATTTTGTTGTTGTTTGTTTTTGATTTTGGGGTAAAATAAATGACTTGACTTGGTTTTTATTTGCTCTGTTTGGGCATTCGGTGATGCCTACTACATACTTCAGAAGAAAACTGCTTTTAAATCCTGGCAGATGTTTTTACAAAGCAGATTATCTCCTGTTTCAGGCTAAAATGACTCAGCTGCCTGAGGCGGAAAAGGAAAAGATTGCAGAGCAAGTAGCTGATTTCAAGAAAGTCAAGAGCAAACTGGATGCTGAGATTGAGATATGGGATGATACCAGCAATGACATCATTGTCCTGGCCAAGAAGATGTGCATGATTATGATGGAGATGACAGACTTCACCAGGTAATTATGTGGAAAATGATGTTTAATATTTATAAGTGTTAGAAGTAGTTGTCACGCAGGTACAACATCAAGGTTTCCGAGTGGCAGGTGCCAAAATCTTGTGAAGACTGAACGATAAAGCAAACGAAAAGGAAGGAATTAGGTGTGTAGCATTTCAGGACTCCAGTGAGAGGGGGAAGAACAATATTTAACCTTGAATGTAATTTTGATGATAACTATCAAGGTCTTTCTTTTAAAAGCTTCCTATTCAACAGGTCATATTTTCATATTTTCATTCTCTGAAGAAATGTGTACTACTGCAGTAAATCAATTCCTGAGGCTTTCCTGAAGCCATTTCTTTTAGCCTTTTTTTTTTACTTTAATTTAATGATTTTATCATTTGGTCACAAAGTTTGGATGGGATAATAGATAGAATATATAGTTTTCAGCATGGCGTTAGGAAGACTAGAGCTTAAATCCTGTCTCTGACCCTTACTTGGTTTGTGACCATGGGTGAATCCTAAACCTTTTTGACTCTGTTTCTTGATCCCTGCAGATGTAAAAGAATAGTATAGACCTGTGATCTAGGCATTGCAAAATGAAGACATTCCATTTCCTAGTTCAGATCTGTATCTTCTCTGAAATTCATACTTTTGGAGTTGCATGGGGACACCACAAATAAATAAATGAATGAATTTCAAAAGCATTTATTAAATTCTTGCTATGGACTAGGCACAGTACTAATGGAAATACAAATTCATGCATATAAGTCATTTCCTGCCCCTAAGGTGTTTAAACCCTCATTAAGGAAAGATAGCATAAATAGGGAGCTGATGTCCAGAGAGGAATGCTTTGTGCAGGAATAAGAGGGACTGCTGATTGGCATCATAGGGCATTTGACATAGACTTTTCTAGAAATGAGCAGGGGCTAGTAGAATATAGAATTGAGATTGTGGGAAAGCCATTTATTAGCTGTGGTCTAAGCAAGATAAAGAGAATACTCACCAATTAAAAATCAAAGATCCCAGGTTGGGAAGTTAAATTGTGGCTTAGAGGTGGGGACTGGAGTACATTTGGCAAGATATAGAGATTTCTCAAAAGTTTTGTGGTGAGTCCAGGTCTTGGCAAGATGAATTAATGAAAGAAAAAATTAAGTTCCTACTATGTGCAAAGTACTGAAAACAGAAAAGCAATACAGCCCCGACTCCCAAAGAGCTTACATTCTAATAGGAGGCAAGAACACATATAGAAGGATACAGGTCCATGATATATGAAAATACAACATAATCCTTAGGGTACAATGACAAAATTGATGGTGAAGTTTCTTCTTTAGTATTTTCTCATATACACATGTGTCTCTATATAAATGTGTACACATATATGCAGACACATGTGTCTATATATACATTACACATATATGTATGTGAGTGTATATATTCATTTGTAATATCAAACTATTTGGTGGTGACAAGGACTTTACTAAGGTGAATGTTTATTAATCAGAAGCCCAGCGTCCCAGGGTCAGAGCTTGAGTTCTAAATTAGAGATAGCAGCCAGGGATAGACAACAAGGCATGAAGATACTAAGGAAAGTGGTATGATGGATCTGGGTGCAGGCAAGATAGGATGTAGAATATTTTCCAATCAGAAGACCAGAGTGCTTAGATTTAGTGACTTGCCCAGGATGTCACAGTTAGCATGTATTGTAGGAAAAAATTAGAGAACTGATCTCAGGTCTCCTGACTCTAAAGATGCCTATCTATCTACTAGGCCATGCTGACTGCTCTTGATCTGTAAAATGAGCCTAATGAGACTTATAGTATTATGTATGTCACGGGGTTGTTGTTAGAGCAATGAGATACAGTGGATATGAAGCACTTTGTGCAGCGAAGTGTTACATACATGTCAGTTATTGTCATTACAAAAGAGAGGCAGGAAGAATACACAAAAATATCAAAAAAGAAAAAAAATCATGGACTGCAGAATAAAATAAGATACATACATGACTCACTATTCTAGTAATCAGACATCTAATAACTTTAACCATGAGAAACTGGTATCAGATCTAGGGGGAAAAAAGGGAAAAGACATAAAGAAAATAGCTATCTAAAAGTACATGCATTGCATTGTCAAAAAGAAGATGTCATTCTTAGAGCCCACTTAGGTCCTAAATTTCATAAGACTGATGATTTAGTTCCTTCCACAATACACCTTCAGATCAGAGAGAGAGAGATTTAGAAGAGGTTTAGCAGTTTTTGACAGTGAAAAAGACATAGCAGAATCAATAAACCTCTAGGCCCATTTAGTTTGAAGGCAAAAAAAAATTGTCCATTTGTTCTACCAACATTTCTTAAGTAGCTATCAATCAATCAATCAGTAATCAAACACTCTATCTACTAAGTGCTTAGCTATTAGGCACTAGAGATACAAACAACAAAATGACAGCCCAAGCCTTCAAGGAATTCACACTCTAGGAGGAGAAAATATGATTATTTCAGTATGTACATAATAAGAAAATATAAATACAAATTTTGCTTTTGGAAGAAGTTCTAGCAGCAGGGGGACCAGGAAACTTCTCAATCAGAGGGAAGTTACTATGTACCAAACACTGTCATAGGAAGTGAAGTTTGTATAAAATTTATGAGACACATCTCTTGCCCTCTTGGACTTTATAGTATAACAGTGAGGAAAGGCATGGAAATAACTATGATACACAATTATACATGTGTGAATGAGTGTTAACTGCTACGAGAAAGCTAAAAAGTGCCTCAAAGCTCACGTTATCCTTTAAAAGAGCAGAGGTTAAATAATGGCCAATTTCCTTTCAATGGGGAAGCTCAGTGGGGCAATGGATAGAGTAGAGTGCCAGGCCTGGAGTCAGGAAGACCTGAGTTATCCCTTTTTCTTCTCCCTTCTGCTTCACCTTCCTTCTCTTCTCCTTCTTCCTCCTACTTTGTACAGCTTTATTTTTATACATCAGAGTGTAGGCCCCTCCCTTCAACCTCTGGAGAATGTGATCTTCCAGATATGAACTTGTATCTTGTCAAGTCTGTTCATTTCTAACTTTGTAACATTTCCTGAGTGTGTCATCTTCTCTCCTCTGATACTGCCATCACCCTGGTACAAGTTCTCCTCATCTCACCTATGGCTGTTGCAATAACCTTCTGTTGAGTCTGCCTTCCTCCAATCTCTTGCCCTCTAAGACTCATCTTCTCCCACAGCTGTAAAAGTAATTTCACTAAAGTGCAGATCTGAATATGTCACCTCCACCCTCCATTTAATAAACTCCAATGACTGCTCATTACCTCCAGGATCAAATGTAAAACCCTTTGTTCAGCTTTTAAAGCCCATTTTACTCATCTTTCTAGTGTTCACACGTACTTCTCCCCTCCACTTATTCTGTGATATAGTCACACTGGCCTACTTGATGTATCTTGTACATTATACTCCATCTTCCAAATCTAAACATTTTCCACCAGCTTTCCCTCATGCTTGGAACACTCTCCAGCCTCATCATCACCTCTGACCTCCTGGTTTGTTTTCCTTCAAATCCCTGCTAAAGTCCTACCTTCCCCAAGATGCCTTTCCCATCACTTTTCATCTTATTGCCCCCTGTCTGAGGCTAGCCTCAAATTAGTCTGTCCACAGCTTGTTTTTACAGAGTCATTTGCATATTGCCTCTCTCCTTAAACTATGAGCCCCTTGAAGACAAAGGTTGATGGTTTTGATTTGTTTTCCATGACTTTGTATCCTTAGCACTTAGCATAGTTTCTAGCACATAGTAGGTACTTAATAAATGTTAGTTGATGGATTGACTACCTTACAGAATGTTTGTTGAAGTAACTATATTATTTGAAATCCTATGAAAGAAGATTCATTACAATGCTGTTATTTCTCTTTTTAAACTATTTTTTCATTATGTGAATAGCAGAGTAGCATACTAGACAGAGGCTACATTGGGAGTTCAAATCCTACACCCTTGAATTCCTTGGTGCTCCATGTGAATTTACTGTAAGATGGAAGGTTGCAGAGAAGTAAGTGTTTGTCATTGCTAGAATTTTGTCATCCTAGTATTCCGTATGCCAGTCACAGAACTCATTCTAATTCTCTTACTCTATCCTATTCTTAATCATCTATGATGTATAAAATAATGGCAGCTAGTTGATGCCATATTGGATAGTGTGCTGGGCCTGAAGTCCAGAAGACTCATCTTCATGAGTTCAAATCTGTCATGAAACACTTACTACCCATGTGACCCTGGGCAAGTCATTCAACTCTATTTGCCTCAGTTCCTCATCTGTGAAATGAGCTGGAAAAGGAAATGGCAGACCACTCCAGCATCTTTGCCAAGAAAACCTCCAATGAGGTCATGAAAAGTTGTATATGACTGAAATGACTGAACGACAATATAAAATGAAAGTATTTGTGTAAAATGCTTCACTAACTTTTAGAAAATATATAAGTATCTTTTGTGTCACCACCATCACCGTCATCATCGAACCATTAAGATAAAATGCAAAATTTCCATTCCAGCATTTAAAACTTTCCACAAAATCATTGTGTTTATTTTCCTAGTAACAAGATTCTCTATCATTTCTTCAATTGTGTTTATGATGTTTAATAATAATTCTTAATCATATATGTGTTTATACATATATTATCCCATAGTTATATTCAAAGACACTTGTTCAATGTTGTGGGGCATGAAAGGGCACAAATGTGTATATAATAGTGACTGATGATGATAATGATGATGGTGACATTTATTTAATGCTTACTATGTATGAGGCACTGTGCTAAGTGCTTTATAATTATAATCTAATTTGATGTTCAAAACAACCTTGGGAGGAAGGTTCTATTATTATTTCCATTTTACACATGAGGAAACTGAGGCAAGCAAAGATTAAGTGACTTTCCCAGAGGCACTAATCATTTAGCTAGTAAATATCTAAGGTTATATTTGAACTCAAGTCTTCCTGTCTTTAGGCCTGGGCACTCTTTCTACTGTATCACGTAGCTACT